AGCAAGTTAATCTTATTCCATGTATCGATTACAATGATTAACACACATTGCATATATTTCTGGGGAGAAACTGAAAGGCCACTGATCTGCTCAGCTCCTCTATGGGATGCATTAAGGCTTCTGCAGGCTTTGGATTTTTTTCTCCAGCTAAACTCCCCTCTGGGAGCAAATTTCAATCAAGCTCGTGACTACAACAAAGATAGAAGAATCCTGTCCCAGAGCTGCTGCTTTGCATCCTTAGCTGCTTTGCTAACAGCTTCAGGCAACTAGGTTACAGACAGAACCAAAATAACTCTCATCTGGCCATCAGGAATGTGCGCTCCAAAATCTGAACTCTGCGCACTCAGGCTGTACACTCCTTAACCCACACCATTAATCTGTTCAAATAGACCTACAGATAAGACATAATGCAGGTTTCATATTTCATGTTTAACAGTAAATAAGAAGAGGAACTGAAGCCTTCTGAATACAACATATCATTTGTTATACCATGTAAAAGGCTAGCATCCTTTACTGCAGTCTTTACAAATTATTAATATTTAATCTCTCTCAGAATTAACGTGCAGTTGTGTTAAATAATTCAGCTTTATTTCAAGTACTGGTAAGTCAGCAACTACAGGCTTTTTTCCTTTTTCTATGAAGTTGCATTTCAAGTTGGCTGCATTGAAAAGAACAGCTGACAGCACTCTGACCTGTGATTTGATATGAAGGATAAGCTATAGAGCAAACTGAAGTACTAAGAGCTGTTACCAGCAGCCTCTAAAAACGTATTTTCTCAATTGTTAATTTAAATAAAGCTCAAAAGTTATGTACTTCTACTGATTTTAAATTGAATCCACAGTGCAACTTTTATTTTTTTTGCTTGACAGTAACGTCAGTAACAGTTTGTGTCACTAACAGAGTAACTTTGCTTGGTTCCAACACTAACGCAGCATAAGGGCCATTTTGGTATTTTAAATGGAAGATGAAAGACAAGCAATAACAAGATGAAAACCCAAACTACATCTAGTATTATGTAAAGCAAATTTAAAGACACAAGTCAGTCCCTAAGAAAACAAGACCAGAGACAGCAAACGGTACTCTCAAAGTCTGGGTACAGCTGACTATTCAGTTACTGATGTCTGCACTGCAACTACCCGGTGAGAGAACACAATGACTTACAGTAAGTCTAAGACATTCACAGCATTATAACCAAAGAAAGGTTTTCCAAAATCACTTCTGAAACACTTCCCCAAGAAGACTAACAAGAATTCTAACACTAAGCTCAAGCATTATATTAATACAGCGTTCTTTAGAGAAGTTCTCTGGCCGTAAGCATTCACAGAACTATAACTCACTCATTGTAAAATGCAACACTTACAGCTAGGCACCACCTTCTTACACTCACAAATTAAGGCAAAACGGGAAACAAGCTCATGTTTCAGATAGAACAGAAACACATTCAGGAAGTTCAGGTTTCAAAAAACAAATCCCTTGTCATGGTCTAGAATACAGAAGCACACTGAAATGCAACACAGACACATCTTTGCTCACACCTAGAGCTACTACACTGAGGGGGGCAAGCACACGGGACCAGGCAGACACACAAATATTGACAGAGAAGTACATAATATACTTAGGCTTATTTACAGTTTTGGGGTTTTTTAAAGTCTTTCCCAAGTCCTGCCTTCAGCATTCTAAGACACAAGCCCTCAGTCATGAGCTGATACAATCTGACCTACAAACGCCATGCGTGCTCACTCCGCAGAGCACAGCTCTCCCACTAAGACCACAAAAATGCCTGTGATTCTCAAAGGATGAGGTCTTCTAAGAACTGAGAACTACAACAGCTGCAATGATTTTCAAATGTGAAGCATTCTAAGGCAAAAATCACAGCTTTTTCAATAAAGCAAAGTGAAAGGATAGATGCCATGCAATCTGAAAAGTTTAGTACGTTGCACTGAAGTTACCACCATGCACAACAGACCAAAAGGAGGCTGCACCAAGAAAAAGCATTACAAAGTTATTGTATTCTACCAATGAACTTTGAAGCAGGGCATGAAAGAGTAAGTGACAAAGATTCCAAAGATTCAAGAACTCCATCTTAGCTTTTCCAAACCACCAGAGGAGGTTTGATTTAAACTGGGTGGTGCCCCCAGGCATTCAAATTAATCCCTCCTGTATGAAGAAGTGATACTTTTAACCATACAACACCCATTTTTGTCAGCTCTCATCCCACTGCATATGTGATGTGTAGCATATGCTAAAGTTAGGAACTTCTGCTGTTATTTTTTGTGCTACCTGGGCTAAAATATATGTGTAAGGAGATGTGCTGCCCTGGATGACCCATAGTGTGGCAGCTTTGAACATACATGCTAAGTACATGTTAGTAAGAAATGATACAAAAGTTTCCAGAGCAATCTAATAAATGTATTTTTCAGCAGCAAAATGACAAAGTCTGAATATCTAATATGTAATAGGAAAGAAGAAGGTAAGTTGGATCCACAATAAGCATAGGACAAGGATTCATTTCTGTATTAAAAATTAAGCTGGATGTTGTGGAGCTGTATGATTTCAATTAATTGTACATACTGAAACAGGTGGAGACTACTGCATTTTAGTCACGCATACAGTGTCAGTTTTTCAATCCACAATTTACCCTTGAGTGAATGTTTTAAATCTCTCTAAGAACAAATGTAAGCACGTGAGTACAGAACTGCCATTAGCAGCTATGTTACCAGAATTGCCTCATTAACTTAAGCTACGTTAAGTGTTAACCTAAAAAACCGAGAGTAAAATAGAAGGTAAAGTTTGGCTGCTCAACATAAAAACTAATGGGTATCGACAGGAAGGAATTCAAACTCAACTCCAGAACGTCCTAATTTTATTTGAGTTGGTTAATCAATTTTGAAGCTTTTTTTTTTTAGAACAGTTTACATAACTTAATGGAACATGTCCTATGAATGTAAATTAACATTTTTCAGAACTCAAGACACCACAACAAAGTCAGATTTTGAAATAAATTACTTGTTTAGTTATCATGTGGATCAAGAGGAAACATACAAGGGGAAGGAAAAACAGCATCAATAAGAAAACACTGTTTGTTAAGTTCCAGACTGAGTTTGTGCTTCTACACAAAAAAAAAACCCAAAAAAATACAACACTGAAGTAACAAGAATTCTCCAGAGAACTTGAAAAAGGACATAACAACTCTAGTCTCAAAATCAAAGTATACATTAATGCCCACTATCAATTTGGTTCTCTGAACTTAACATGAGAAAGAGAAATTTAAGAGCGGCTAACTCTAAATGTGCATTAAATCACAGCAGTTTTTTTAGATGGGTGAAAGTTGAACCAGCTGTTTTGCATGACAAATATGAACAAATCTTTGTTGTATTTAATAATCGATGCATTTGTTAGTACAAAGTAGATGATGTTCAGTAAGAAGGCATTAAATGATCACCTGAAAACACCATGCTGTTTTCCTACACATGAAGCCAGACTACAGAACTTGGTGAAGGCCAGATGTTCAAAGCTTGTGCAAAGACAGAAGCTGCACACCCATGATTTAAGCTGACATTCCCCAGAGCCTGGCAGGTGTTAACATATGCCAATATTTATTTGCATTCTTCCTTCACATTATCAAATCATCTGCCACTGAACTTTGAAAATCTGGTCTTAGCTACAAACTGACACTTTGCCTTACTCAATTAGTTAAAAGGAAAAAAGTATATATATATAAGTATATAGAAGGAGAGAGAGAAGGGCACTCAACCATCATTTTTTTGGTTGATGTTAAAATGTCAAAACTAAAGCGAGTTCTTCCATCTAGACATTTTCCTTTCATTTGTCCCTGACAGTTTTGAATAAACCTTCTCCAAATCAACTGTTTGTTCTCAAAATGTGCAAAAAATTTTAGCATTCAGAAACCATTAAAAAAAAAAGACTGATTTTTTTTGGGCGCTATACATTATTTTTTTGAATTAGCCTCAGATCCTGAAGCCTCAGCAAACTTTGTTTTTAAAATGGAGGGACACAATTTTGGCTCAGAGGAGGGAAAAAAAAAAAAAGATTATAGCAAAAGATGGAGTTAAAAGAGTCAACCTATGAATGCTTCTTAAAAACAAGTGCTTCAAATGCAGTTTTAGAAAAGAAATTAAATATGTTTGCAGTCACACTGAAGCAAACATCTGCAAAGAAAAAAAGGCCCTCATCCTTAAGATGGAAGAAAAAGGTGATGGGGAAAAAAAAAGCACTGTTTTCCCAAGTTGCCCAAATCACACACAGACACAAGAAGGTTACAAATGCCATTCATGAAAGAATGCACCACAAACATCAGCATTTATTCATTTTGAATTATTATTTTTTTTTTAGCAAATGACAAAAGACCCAGCTTACTGGCTTCACTTTTGTTAACCTTTTGCTTACATTACACATTTAAACATTTGTCAAAACTTACTAAGTTGTCTGCATTCATGCACAACTAGAAAACATCCTTAATTTATTTAAACCAGAAATGCATTACCAGAAATGTATTAACATCGTTCGCTAGTAAACGTTAAAAAAAGAAGTTGAAATTAAAAACCTTATCCTGGAAATGTTAACTTCACAGCAGACTTAAACTACTATTGGCTCACATTTCAAACAAATTGGAAAAAGCAAGATTCATGCTAGTGTTAGTGTACATCTTGCCCTAGCACTACTGAAGGATCATGGTTCACCTTGGATCATATATGTTAAAAAGAAAAGTGCATACAGAAATTTACAACAATTTTAAGGACAAAAAATGGTCCTATTGATGTGGTCCCAACAATTAACTCAAAAGTCTATGACAAATACGAGCTCCGGTGAGCTATTTATACTACTTAAGATTAAGTACGGATATACAGAAAGTTGAGTTCATTTGAAATCTTCAAAAATTGTTCCTGTCAATCCTCAAATGGTGGCTGTTATAGCTTAAAATTTCTGTTAAATGCGTGCGTTGAATTACTTGTTATCCAAGCGCAGCAGCTGCTCCTTACCATTTATTGTTAGTGACCTTAACTGGCCATCTTCTTCAACTTCTACTCTCTCTTGTCCATTCTCAAAAATTCTGTAGGACAGAACACACAGTTACCTATTTTAAAGCACTATCAGCAGTTTGAAAGCCTACACCAGACCTAGCCTTCTAGATAATGAAGTGTAACAGAGCACTGCCTGCTTAACACAACAGTAGTTGGCAAGGTTTCACAATTAACAGTACAGAAGATGTAACCAGTAACCACGTGCATTCCATCAGTGATACTGCTTATTTCCAGAAAGTAATTTTCCTGTTATAAAGTTTGAATCCTACAGTTAATTCACAACTAGATTTTAACTAGCATGGCATTCCCCCCTCATGATTAAAATGAAGAAACCACATAGATGAATATAAACTCTGAAAACTGAACTCAGCGAGGAAAACACATCCATATTAAAAATGGAGGAATGGCTTCCCATTCCAAAATGTTATGCAAAAATGATTTTCATTGGGTATTTCTTTTCCTTAAACGTTTATCTACAGTAATCATATCCAATTACTGGATCAGTAAGTTGAAAGAGTACTGAACATAATGTAGGGTACTCTACATTTTCCCAAATGCAGCAATTTCTCTGCTTTTGCATAGCAGTTGCCTATGGGTATGCTATGTGCAATACCTGAAAACACTTTCATTTTACACATGGGCAGTCCCACAGTAGGTCTTACAAGGCTGAACAATTCTCAGCTACTAGAAGCTTAGACAAAAACACTACCTTCTTCATTTTCAGATGCTATAACTATAAGCAACTCAGCAAAGCCAAGAGTCACAGAACCCAACACCACTTTTTTGCCTTTATTTTTTCAGAAAAATCCAAATTTTCTCACGACCACAACATCAAGAGCAATAATACAAACCAATGTTGTTGCTACGTAAATAGCTATATGCATGTATGTATAACCATATATTTCTATGTAGTTCTGGAAATCTCTTACCTCTTTGTAGTAATTTTTCTGCCGTTAACTATTTTAGTTGAGGTTGATACTGATTTGAAGTTTCCCATCCCACTGCCACCAAATGACGTAGAGGAGAACGAAGTAAGGCCTCCATGCCCCAGAGAACCAAATGAAGTAAAACCTATTGGGGAAAAAGTTAACATGAAAATTACTTGAATAAAGCCATAATTTTGCATGACTGTGGTCTTCAAATTTATCAGCTACTCAAACTACCTCCTAGCTTTAGGATGCCCTTTGATGGCTCCATCAACACAGCATCAGTGACTCATGGCATTAAACACCAGCGTGAATGTAAGATCTCCAGCCTCACTGACTTCTTCCACATGGACACAGTTCCAAATGCAGAGCATTGCCCTCTTTTAAAGAAAAGGCCTGTCAGCTGAATCCAACCATTGTAACATTATATCCCCTAAGGGTAAAACTAATAGCTATAACAAGTCTGATTTTTCATTTTAACAGATACAGTGTGTTGCCCTACATTAGCAGACAACACAAGTTTTGTATTGCTAACATCTCAACTAATACTCAGAATCTTCACACTTGAAACAATGCTGACTACCATAAACTCTCAACAAGCTCTGAGACACAGACCTCACCATTCGAGTTAACTATTCCAGAACTCATTCTAAATAATACCATGAGTTTCAAAACACAATTTTCCCAGGGTGTTTTCCAAAACTTAACTAAACGCAGTCACACCAGTGCTCAAGGACAAATAGAACTAAAACAATTCTCAAGCCACAGAGAAACTGCAACACAGTCTTAGAGGTCTGTTCACTCTTTATCAGCTTTCAAGTAGACCAAATATTGTAATGAAGGTTTTATTTACATTCAGACTTGTCAGAGAGCAGACTACATCAGTCTCCCAAATTTCAGTCTCAAAACATTCCCAAAACATCAGTCTCACAATTTCCTGAATTAGAAGGCAACTTTTAAAAAGTACTTATCTGCTTACTACGCTGAGATCCTTTGTGAACCAAAACTACATTCTTTGTTAAATGCTACCTTATTTACCTGTGTCAAATGAAGGAAAAGGACTTCCAAAAGCAGGGAATCCACCAAAGGCAGAGAAAAATGATCCACCAGCTCTGCTTCTGCTTCCCCTTGGACCTCGTCTGCCCCCGAAGAAGTCCTCAAAAGGATCTTCTACAAAACAAAAGACATTTAAAGAGGTTAATCTCACTGTATTTCATCATTAAGGTTTCTTTGAGTTAAGGAAAAAAAGTTCTAGTTGTAAGGTTCTTCCTTTGAAATGCTTGATTCTACCGAGATAACACATTCACTAAAAAGGCAACTCCCATTGTCCTTTTGGACTAAATTCTGTCTCACATTTAGAATTACAATCATTAAGTAGTTGATTTCCTTATCATTTTAGCCATTTGGTATTAAAACAACAATAAACTTACTGTAAACGCTCTTTCATTTCTCAGCACAGTAAGCAGTAAAAGTTATAACATTAGCATACTTATTTCAGATGCTCACACAGCATAATCGACTGGGGAGCACGATAAAAGAACTGCAAATAAATATCAATTTAACTGTGTCTACTCAGCATTTGTCAGATTTAGAACTCTTCAGATGCATTACTACACAGCAATAAGGAGTAACACTACGGAAAAATTAAAATCTCAATATTTAACAGTGTTTACAACACTGGACATATATACTGCCCACAGCTTGCTGCTGTTCCAGATACTGCAGTCCACCACTATGAGGTCTCTAAAAAGTAACTTCCAGAACATGTGTGTCAATAATTGAAATATAAAAAGCCTGAAGGACTGAACTATGACTCAAATTTCAATTACTCTATGTGTTTATTTTAGCCCTTGCCACACTAGATACTTTAAACATTTATTCTGGTGCAGATTTAAGTAGTAAATTATGGGACACTGTGCATTCAGACACTATCAAGCAGGAGGAAAAGGTGAAAAACAGAGAGCGCCATGGAAAAAACTGTCAAGTGCACACACAACAGTTACATCAGCAGCAGTTATCAATTCCATTCCCATTAGGAGAACAATAGATTCTTTCTAAAGATAGATACTACACACATATATAAAATTATACATAAACAAAAATGTATTAGATAGGCATTTTTTATATGTAAATAGACACCTCTGCAAGAATATCCCTATTTACTTAGAAGCAATCAAGCTTTCCTAAAATACAGATATTACTAGGCTATCTGAAAAGGCTAACACTCTTCAAACAAAGAGCATTAGATTTCAGTCATGTAACACATACTCAATACATACATTCCTTATTTTGAACTCCAAAGTTAAGACCTTCAACTCATCAAAAAGAACTCTACGAGGATGAGTGCTGTACAGTACCAACAATTTTACCAAATTTTTTAAGTGGAGATTCAGTATTAAAAGCTAAATCAGCTTAAGCTCTTCCTGAGAAATGGAGAAACTGGTGACAGCATCAGCAGGGTCACGAAAGCAAGGTAAACTGATGTAACTGTACTACTGTTCTGATGTACTAATTGACAACCAAAAGGTCAGAGATCAACCCACTTCTGGTACCACCACAGAAATCCAAGCTCATGTATGCTACATCACCAAGTTCACTCACTAGTGACATTTCTAAAGCAATCAGTCTGGTAAAAAAAAATTACTACTTATCATGTGGTGCATGCGTGATTCATTTACAGAAGTGTCACAATGTATTTAAGGCTGAACAAATAAAGCCCCTAAGCTCCAAGAACATATTCCCACCAGGGAAGATAGAAAATGCCAGGAACAAAAATAACCCTAGTTTACACAGTTATTGAATAAAAAGGCAGGACCAAACTTTTATCTTACATACACCACCAAGCAATGATAAAGTTTCCTTGTTTCCAGGCTTTTTCACTGTTGTGTTCCTGTGCTATTTTTACCTCAGATAATCTGTTATTATCTTTAAAACACTAGAAGTAATACCAGTTCTTGGGCATAGCAATATGGGAACCTCTAACTACAGTTTGCACGTCCCAAACAAGCACTGTAACCATTCTTTTTAAAACTGTTTTTTTTAAACCACTGCAGTTAATTGTTTTGAAGCCTAATATATTCTTGCTAGGGTGACTCAGAAGTTAGTTATGAAGGTCATTCACTCACGTGTACAAATGATCTATATAATATTACTCTCACTGTTAAGCTTTCTATTTATAGTCCAATTTTTCCTGTTACCTGGAGTTCGAATAGAAACAAAACAACCTGCCATGTAAGCTCTGCATACAAGATCCCCCTGTGCTATCAGCCTATTCCACAAGTGACTCTCCCACATAGCAGCAGCCAGAATGAAGGTTTTATGGGAGATCCCAGAATCCCCCTGAGATCCCCACTGTCAACACAGCTGTAGATGGATTACTGCCTGCTCCTCTCCTAAGCTACACTTGGGCATGCTCCATATCAGCCTCTGGCAACCCTACACACCAAAAAAAACAAAATCTGTACTTCACTTCCAGCCTCAGGTGATTCCAGTTTGCAGTTCTGCTAATAATCCTCCAATGTTCCGCCAGTAATTCTAGCCAATAAATGAGATGCTCAAACCACATTGCAACTGATTGCTGAATCCTCAGCAAGACAACTCAGAAGCAGGGAGATGGGGAGCTTTTCCAAGGCAACATTCTCTCTTTCCATGACTGTGCTGACAGCCATTCAAGCACAGCATGCAGAAAAAATGCCAAAAAGACTGAGGAGTAAAGGCAGCAGGAGGCTTCTGTATGATCATTGGTTGTATCCTCCACCACATACACATTCATACAGCAACCTCGCAACTGCTCAGGCACTGTTTATGCTTTTAGACCATAAATCAGGATGATGAATAGTCCCACTCAGCAGAATAATAACATTTCAGCCTGGTAGGTCTATTTTTATGATTTAGCAGAACCTTTCAATGCATGATAACCTTTCCATATAGACAGCTTTTCCAAAATGGTTCAAATAAAGCTAACACCAAAATATCGGGGTGTTTTGTTTTAATGACTCCTCCTACAATAATAATTTCGGTGCATTTTACAATTTATGATTTTCTTTTTTGATGTCACGTGCTTATCAGAGCAACAAAACTGAGCAGCAAAGAAAAAAAAGCCCCCCAAAACCACACAACAACCACAAGTAAAGACTCTTCCAAAAATGGAAAACAACATACTGTGCAATTGACAAACACCATAAAACCAAAATGCTGGACCTTAAGGTACTACTGAATATTGTTTATTTTAATCAGGCTAGTACCAGAAGCTTATGAGATGACAAACTATCATATGCAGCTCCAAAAGAAATGGTCAGCACACTTCTGACATCAAACTTGTGGCACCATGAAAACAGCAAGGATCAGAAGGTGAGAGGTTCAGGAAGACAGGGAGAGCTTTCTACTGGATCAGTGGCATGGGATGAAACAGAGACCTTGGGGAGAAAAGTAAATGCTTATGCAAAGAATTCATGGTAAACTGTTAGGAAAAAATGAAACACAACAAAGGACTCCGGGATTCTTGCTGTTCTTAGGTGGAAAGACTGCAGTTACATAAGCCAAGTTAATATATATAGGTAGGAAGGAACACAAAAAACTTCCAGCAACAGAAGACCACACGTTAACAAACCCATCTGAAAATTCTGATGTTAGAAGTAATGTGTTCCTAAAAGAATTTACGCTAATTCAAAAGCAACTGTCCTGTTCACCTGGGTAAATCATTACAGCAGCTCACTGGTGTACAGCAGAACCCTACTTTACCACCTGGAAAATAATTTAACCTCAAAACAAACCAAACACAACCACCACCACTGGAAAGTCTCCTTGCAGCTGAAGATGAAGTGGGTCATGATCCCCTCCTCACCCTTAGTTCTCAGCTGTAACACACAGGATTTTCTCATGTCAGCAGCATGATCCACTTGCAGAATACTAGAAAAGATGAGCTCCGTTTTGCTCTCCTGTCCTGCCCACAATCACAGAATTGTAACAAGTGGCATTAACTCACTGATCCAAAAGAAAACACTGCATATTTGTACTGTTAGCTTTCTCCTGCATCCATGAGCTAACCTGACCCCGCACTGGCAAGACTGGAGTATTTGAAAGCAAGCAGGCAGGAAAGCACAAAACAGTGGAGGAAGGGAATAAGGAAGGTAACAGCTGACTACCTGCACTCATCCTCAATCCAGTTTTACTTCGTGACTTTCATTAAAATCAACCTACGACATTAGCTCAAACCTTCACCAAAAGTAAAGCTATCACATTTCCTCCTGCAGTCACTTCTACCATGACACTGTCATGGTTGGGGCAATCAGATCACTCACTGCTCAGCCTGATGGAAGTTCCACCACATCAGTTTTTCCCAGTGCAGCTGTAAAAGCAACTACACTGCTACAATGAGGGCAGCTGAAACAAGCGCCCAATGATCAGAAGGAGAACAGGGGCATGGTGCCAGCAGTAATGCCATGTTAACCTTCACCACACAGTAAAGCTTATCCCAGTGCAGTGCCATTGCTCACCTTCAAAAAATTGAATAGTCACACTGGTAGCAGGTGTTCTCACATGCTCAAACTGCTTTAGCCAGAGGCTCTGACAGTGTTACAGGTAAGTATGTAAAGGGTCACTGTAGAAACAGGATCACTGCTCAGTCACCACACCTTGGACTACCTGCCCAACCAGTAAACCTTCTTCCCTTTCGTTCACTTCAAGGGAAGCCACATTACTGCCTCTGCCAAAATGTGACAGTGAGGAAAAGCTCAACACCTATACTGCAGATGCAGAAGGATGACACCATAATTGCAATGCACTGGGCAAAGTGAAGAGCTTGGCCCTCACAGAAGGAAGCAGTCGAACTGAACTGTGTTCAGTATTGCAGTCTGCACTGTTTCAGCAAGCAAAGACAGAGCCTGCCATGAACTCTTTATATCAAAGCACACTGTAAGTGACTCTATGGACCATATCAGAATAATCAATGTAATAAAAGCAGGTCAGATAGCATGCTCACGCAAAGGGCTATAGATTTATAACATGTACAATAAAATGAAATTACTGGAGTAGATGTTTCTATCTTATCTCCTATTTGAAAAAGGTCTCAAAGATGCAGACTCACAGAAAATACACATAGAGCTTACACTACAGTTTTGGAGAGTACCCAAGACACAACAAAGTATACCATCAGAACTTCACAAGCTGCAGAACCTATAGGCATTTCCCAAGGAAATATTTTCATCCTTAATTATAAAGTATGTTATCAGTTGATCTCTTGATGAAGAGATCAGAAGAGCCACAAAGATGCTGTTGCAAACAGTGCTGATTCATCTGTCTAGTGTATTTCACCAGTCTTTTATAACTGCACATTCCATAAATGAAATGTCAAACAGATGCTTGCCCCACTTACTTATGAAAGCTTACCAGTAGAATTGTCATAGCATTTGAAAAGTCTTTCTAAAGATATACAGCAGTGATTCTGGATTAGCAATTTCCTACATAAAAGAGACTGAGAACATTACCTTTTAATCCCATCTAAACCATAATTATACAGACACAGATCACTGTGCAAATCATAGAATCATAAAATCACTCAGGTTGGAAATGACCTTAAAGATCATCCAAGTCCAAGGTACACTCAGGCATACCTTAAAAATGAAGGATTCTTCTACTACCACTGTATGACCTGCTTGCCTTGTGCCATGCCCAGCACTTGTCTTCTTAAAGACAAATTTAACCTGCTAGACATCCAAGAGAAAAAATAATTTTGGAGACCAATAAGCTGAACCACCTCAGAGATACACACAATTAATACAATTAACTAAAGGTAGGGGAAAGAAGGCATGCCTGGGAACTCCTCTTAGGCCAGTGTGCTATCAAACAGCTCCTCAATGCATCTAGGGGGACATCACTGAAAGATTCGAGTTTTAAGAGACAGAAGAACTTGGAGCGTGGCCTCTTCAACAGCACAAGCTGCATGGAGCCACTGCATTACTTCCATCTGTGTGATAATGGTGGCAGGGTGAGATGATTCCTGCAATGGAAATGCTTCCTTTGAATCTATAAACTTATTTCTGAAACATGACTGATAGTAAGATCCAGACCATTCCATGAATAATTGTTGCACACTTCCATACCAAAGCAATGAATGCACAAAGCTCTGAACTTTATATATACCAAAAGTTGCAAATTTGGGTCAACAAAAAGTTTAATTACAAAGAGGACAACATTGTACAAGACAGCTTTAATTGAAAGCCTCCTCCATTTGCAGCTTTAGTAATCTGACTAACAAATTTACTTTGCCTTAGACTATCTAATCATCATAATTATCACAAGATGTGATTACACATGGATTAAAACCATGATCTTACTCTCATGCCTCAGCAAGACTGTATCTAAATATAAAAAAAAAAAGCTTTTGAATTTGAACTTGCCATTTCTAGGTAACTTATCCAGAAATTTCTCTCTCATCTTCCCTTGGCTCCAACTACTCAAGTCACTTTTCTATGCTTGTGATAAAAAGCTCATGAAGCTATGCCATTTTTGAAACAATGTCGTAAAACACATTCCGTATAAAATACGTTTTGCACACAGTTTTCCAGGTGAAGACTCTTTAGACTTAGAGTAACTCACCACACTTCTCCAGAAATTCACCTACTGTTTATGTACCCCGTATTGCAGAAGTCAGCTTGCAGTAATTTTCTGTTGTATAACAGAACCAAACTGCATAACATAGAGCTATCCAGTTGAGTTTCTCCTTGACAAAAATGTCTGCCCAGTTAGCCATGTAACAAAGTTACATTTTTACTGTTGGAAATCAAAGGTACAATCAGAGTTTTGAATCTCAGAAGGTACACTGACAAAACAAGCTAACACATGCCAGAGCTGCCAAGTTCATTATCTATGTAGAATGAGACAGACTTCTCTCAGCCACCAAAGTCCAGAGAGGACACCCATCTGGAGCAGCTCAACACATGTGACCACGGAGGAAAGCACTATTCCTTGCAGGATTTATTTGCCTGGACGCACAGGTATCTAATGCTGTTTGACATGCTCTGAAGCATCCTGCCTAGCTCCTAATAACTGAAGGGTAGTGGTCTGCTCTAGCACCTGGGTTTTATTTTCTAGCTCATTCAGAAATTATAGAGTCTATACTGAACATAGGATCTGATCTCCTTTATAGGTCACAACTTACGCAGCAGAACATATGCTGAGATGCTGAATTAGAATTCTACCACTTCTGAGAAAATCCTCATACATTTGACTAAGTAAAATCACAATGGCAAACGAGCATCAGCACTATGGTAAGATCAGTTTAACAGTTTTGTCACACATTGCTTCCTTTACCTAAACTAAGCACAGACTTCAAGAGATACCTAGATTATCTAGATACCTGTAGATATCTGTACCTACAGAGGCTCCACCCCCCAAACAAACAAGTGACATAAAACCTGGAGGATTCTCTAGCTGATGTACGCAGCTGTTTTTATCTTGATACCAGAAAATCATTTGTGGTATACCAATTCATTCTTGGAGACATGCTGTAACAGTTTAAAGCAACCTAGTCAGTCCAGAATCTCTCTCTCCAAATTACATTAAATATTTACAGACCAAGAGGTCAAATTCAGCAGACAAAGTCCACAGAGAATATTCCAGTGTATACTTCTTCTGTCCAATGTTATTTCCTTCCAATCTACAGAGACAAAGCTGCCACAAATTTAAGGTTTTTTTTAAGCCACGCCTTCTGATAAACATGCGCAGGTAATCCAAACTTACCATGTGCTATCACATCAACTGACAAAAAAAATACTGTTACAGACATTTTAATATAAAATTGTTTACTACCCATTTTCAGAGCTACTTCTCATAGAGCTATTTTAGCTAACTATGTTCTATAGGATTGAAATGAATCAGCCACAGCAAAGATGGACGTAACTGAAACAAGTAGATTACTTACCGAAGAACTCAAATGAAAAAGGGTCCCTTCCACCAAAAAACTCCCTAAAGACATCATTTGGGTTACGGAATGTAAATCCAAATTCAAATGGATTATCATGGTGACTTCCACCTGCAAAAAACAAGTTGAAAAAACAAGTTGAAAAAATCCTCACACACTAGCGCTACCATAAAGTTCAAGCCAATGCAACTTCTCAGGCATTTAAAAAGAAGTATATACTAAAATTCCTATTATTTCTATCATCCTCTCAGGTATCCCACAAAGTAAATACACTTAATTCCTAATTGATATTAATTCAATTAATTCTATTTTCTTTTTCCAGATATCAGCAGACAAATCATAAAACATAATAATCATAATATACTGTCTTAGTATAGGCAATCCTAGACTCTTCTTTAAAAAAGCAGCAGAAAATGGCTTTCCAGTGGAACAAAAGAACTGCCAATTGACAACATACCTCCACCTCCATTTATTAAGCCTTCTTTTCCAAATCTGTCATAGATGTCACGTTTTTTAGCTACAAGAAAAAGTTGTACATCGTATCAGTAATTAAACATAATAACTTGTTAAAATAATAATAATAATAATTAAAAAACACTTAACTGGTCTTTTCAGCTAAACTTCTTCTCAAAGCTAGTTTATTTAAGAAAGTTCTGACAAGAAACCAGTAAAAATTTTTGTTGAGGGCTACCAAAGCAGTTTAGGTTCAGAAAAAGCAGACAAGTCATTACACTTACTACCACGTAGATATAGAATCCTAGGGCCCCTTGTATTAGAAAAAAAAAATACTGTCATGTATGACAAACATCAAAAGGATACATGTCCTTATACAGTCATGGAAAACTTTTGGTTGAAAAGCTCTGGGATTCAACCCTCTATGTTGGTTGAAACTTGGCTAGATAAAGCCCAGGTCACCTCTCTTCAAAAAAGAAGATTCCACAGGCTCTCTTGACAAACTGTTTTTTGTGCTGAAGGATTTTCATTGTAACATTTTGTTCTCTTTATTCAACTGGAACACCCCTTGTTGCAGATCTTTGCCTTTTATTGTGCAAGACCAAGTTCACTGTGAGAAAGTGGTAAGAAACGAAGAACAGAATTTTGTGTGACTATGAACTCCATCAATAGCCACTCTATTTTAATAAGGAGACCAGAAAGTTGTTTAAAAAAAAAATCCATGAAAGGATTGGACTCAAACTGCTTGCTCTCTGTTGTTTTAGCAGACATGGAATGCTCTTCATTTCATGCAGACCAGCACTCCAGTATCCACAAGTACTGGAGAGAAAGCAAATTAATTCCACATTACTACAGAAGATCAGCCTGCACTGCTGGCACTGGAGGCAAATCTGAGAGTATTTTGCTGATACTCCCTAGAAATATCAGTCAGGACATGTGATTTTAGATTCTTCATGTTAACGTCTTATTCCCACTGTAAGATTTTCACTGGAAGACATTTTTGAAATTCAAATAGCATAACTGAAAGAAAATGCTGTTACCTCAAACAGCTACTGAAAAACAAAATACTTCCTCGTGGCTACAGAAATCCAATTTTACATAGTGGTTATCATTTAGAAACGATGCAACCTTGCAATAGGTACACATATACACGCACACAGAACAAAGCCTAGTTCAGTACCTTTGGTATTGCCTTTTTAGAACACAACTGAAGGAAGTTAACCTACTTCCATCAATTAAAAATGGACACAGAACTGTCCGAAGCAGCAGAAAACAGTTAAGACCCGAAAGCTCAACAAGCCTGAAGTTCACCTTGAAAAAAATTTAATGTTCTTGAAACTTGAAGACAAGCATGCCCTATGATCAGACCATTTCAACATCCTTTGCATTTGTAATCCCTTACACAGCTACCTTCCTTGCAAAAATGTCTTCATTCACGCCTGTAATGGTGTGAGAAACTTTATTAAGTTTGCAGGACAGCTGACTGCCCCTCAACCATTGGGCTCAGGATTTAGTGACTGTTAAGATCCCAGTAACTTTGGTTTGGTATACATCCAAGAACAGGAAATATTTTCAGAAAATATTTTTCAGAAAGCGTTCTAAAATTCCAGGAATGTATTGTTTCCAAAGAATCTAAAGATCTATATGCCACCCAGACCAGTATCCTACTTTCATCTTACTCAGAGTTTACTTAAGAAGGTGAAGCTACTCTAGAAGATGAAAGTTCATAAATTCAGTTTTATTTCCACCATGCCAATTAAGAATCAAAATCAGATCGAAGACACAGGGTGTACAAGACAGCTAAACCAGGCCAACTTCTGAAAGGTAATCTAGATCCTGCTGCTACTTTAAATAGAGCTTTCCCACTCACTCACTGGTTCCAGGTGAAATCAAGGACACTTCAGAAATAGAATACAGACAGCTGCAGTCAATTACAGAGGAAAATAATCAAAATTGCTTAAATCACTTCATTATGATTCAGACTGCTTCTGCCAAGACATTTGCAAAAGTTAATGCTGCTTTTCAAGCAAAAAGACACAGGTGAACTAGAAAGTGAATTCCTCCACCACACAGGTCAGGCTAAGCAACTGATTTCAATTAACACTTCTCCTGTATTTATGGTAATATTGGTTTGACCTCCTCAGACAGAAGTGGATCTTAGCTTCCAAAAGGAAATTGTCTCTGTTACTCATCTAAAAAGATACTGAATTTTTGGTTTCAAAAATTTCTGCTCATTCTGTCTTACCTGCAAGCTTCCCCCCCCCATCCCTTCCTTTTGCACACGAAGTAGTCTAGTTGCATGGAAAGGTATGGTTAAAATACCCCTTTAAAAGCACCATGAATTTTTCTCCTCAGCATTTTCAGTCTTAAACTGACTATCTAGAGAGCTGCATTGCAAAAGCCCATTTAAAATACCTACCATCTGACAGAACTTCATAGGCCTCGGCTACTTGTTTAAATTGCTGCTCTGCTTCTTCTTTATTTTCTGGATTCTTATCAGGGTGCCATTTTAATGCCAATTTACGGTACCTAATTGGAAGGAAATAAGAGGATATTTTACATTGAAATGAAGAAATACGCTATAACCATAGACTAGATATCAGGAATTCTACACTGTGAGGATGATGAGACACTGGAATAGGTTGCTCAAGGAGGCTGTGAAGGCCTCTCTGGAGGCATTCAAGGCCAGGCTGGATGGGGCTGTGAGCAACCTGGTCAAGAAGGAGGTGTCCCTGCCTATAGCAGAGGGTTGGAACCACGTGATTTTAAGGGTCCATTCCAAACCAAACCATTCTGTGATTCTAAACACAAAATGTGCCAAACAAGTTTTCAGGGACTAAAGTACTTAGAGTTCCCAGTACCTTATATCTTGCCTCTAGAACAGCATCAACAGATCTTGCAGGTATACAAAGAACTGTCTACCCAGATTTGCTTAAAAAAAAATAAATTTAAAAACTGGGAGTTCTTCAGATATTTTTAGATTTGGTATTCCTGAGTTTCTGACACAAGGCAGGGGTGGCAAGGCATTCTGTAACATTTCTGCTATACCGTTCTTCTTAAATGCTCCATATTCCAACTACACTAAACCAAAACAAACTACTGTAAACATCAACAGTACTCTTCTGATCCAGACAGAGATGATAAAGCTTCAGGAGCACCTTAGTAACTAACTGTGGTAGTATCTCACATCAGAGGCACGTTTGATGGCTAACTCGTACACAATCCCTATGCTCAAAAGGGATGTTTTAGGCTAAGTGTTCAAAACTACTTAGAGGAGCAAAGCTAAACTTGTGCAAATGTTGATTCGTAGCATTTCACACACTCATGCAGCATTACAGTTCAAATTCTGAGTTGACACAGATTTTCTTGTGCAAATTCCTGCACATACAAGGGACAAAAAAAGTAAAGTGTCACGCACTAGTGCAATTTGATTAACTGTAAAGCAGGGCACCCAGAAGAAGGCAAGATAAACACAGAATTTCTACGTCACTCAAAACTGTGTCTTAATGTCAAACGTTTTTGGTATACTAGGAACATGCACTATGGGAACGTCTCCTTCCAACAGTTTGCTGTTAAGTAAACAGTAACTTTTAGGGAAAAACAAAAGGCAGTATGCCAAATACTCGTTAATAACTTAGAAATCTAAGCACCTCTGCAAAAGGAGGGGAAGATGGGTTGCAGTTCAGCCATGGAATATTACCTCAGATGATGACTATTCACCCAGGCATTGAAAACAAAGAGGATATATTTGCTCCTTAAAATATCCCATATATATCACAGTGATACTTACGCTTTTTTAATATCTTCTGCTGAGGCATGCTTCTGCACTCCCAGAACTTCATAATAATCCACCATGTTTCAGCAGTTGTCTTGTTAACAACAGGTGGGTCTTTCAAATCCTGCAACAACAAGAGCTTGTAAATGAAGTCTGTATGGTAATGCTGCATCATTTTTAAAAAGATCAAGGCAGAACTTACTATGTGCTACTACCAAAGCTGATCTAGCAGGAGACTGCTTTTACACAGCCAAATGTTCCAAAAATACACACACACACACTAAAGATTCACTTATTTTACGTTGACACATGAGCCAATTACTTTGATTCTAATTTGGATTCATGTTCTTTAATTTCACTGAAACACACTGAAAAGAGATTAAGGAAAGCAGCAGGTTCCTGAAATAAATTAGACAGAAAAGCTGGTTTTAATCACTACAGAAAGAAGGAATTGTACTGTATGCCATCATTTTTATATTCACATGAATAACTTCTGAATGGAAAAGCAGCCACACACCATATTACTTTATGGCACCTAGGTGATATCTTAAGCACATGAGTGTAAGCAGACAGCAATGTTCTTTCACGGCACTTTTTAGTAGCCTTTCTTGTATTCAAATCTTGACAGACAAATCACACGTTGCCAAAGCTGCTGAATGCCATTTACTGATTACCAACAGCCAGAAAAGACCACTGAATTGAAGGCTAACCAACCAACTCAAATAAGTAAGCTGTTTGTATTCCTTAGAATGAGAGAATAAAGTTTTCACAGGAACAAAAATAAACTGAAACCACTTTTTTTCCCCCTTCGAGTCACTCTGTGTGTCCTCTTACAGTCCAGGTAGTTTCCTTTTTACATTTACAGAAGTGCTGTAAGAACCAAACACAACACTCTGAAATAAATTTACTCTACTGATACTACATGCATCTTTCAATACCCTAAGATACAAACATTGAAGTGAGACCTCCTTTTACAGTAATTAGATACTTCTTCAAAATAACATTGCTGTTGTAGGTTAAAGCCAAATGAACTTACAAAGGTGGGGATGTGGTTACATACACAACTCCTCAAATGGCAGGTTCTTGCTTAAACTGGAGCTGCCATGCACTTCCCACCCCACTACCAACATAAACAAACACACAGGAAAAAATACGTGCTTTTTGCAATCTAGTTAGCCAGAGTTCCACAGACACTGAAAACATTAAAGTGCAGCAGGTAAGGAGACCTCTAATTGACACTGCCCTTTGATGAAACCTCCACGCTGAAACAAACAGTATGGGTGTAGTTAATAACGCAACCAACACTAAGAAGGGATGCTGGAAGACACGCAGTAAAATGAACGTCAAGAATGCCAAAACACATATAATAAGAGCAAGCTTCAATATGTAAACAGGTTACAAAAAATAACCCAGAATACTCAACTAACAACCAGCCTAGCAAGATTTGCTGTTTCCCAAACAAATGCGAAAGATGTGAAACTCTTGGAATGAGTCCAGAGGAGGGCCACTAAGATGACCAGAGAGCTGGAGCATCTCCCCTGTGAGGAACGGTTGAGGGAACTGGACTTGTTTACCTTGGAGAAGAGAAGGCTCCAGGGAGACCTCATTGTGGCCTTCCAAAACTTGAAGGGAGTGTATAAACAGGAGGGGGAACAGCTGTTCACAAGGGCAGATAGTGATAGAACAAGGGGGAATGATCTTAAACTGAGACAGGGGAGGTTTAGGTTAGATATTAGGAGGAAGTTTTTCACACAAAGGGTGGTGATGCACTGGAACAGATTGCCCAAGGAGGGTGTGGATGCCCCATCCCTGCAGGCATTCAAGGCCAGGCTGGATGTGGCTCTGAACAGCCTGGTCTGGTGACTGGCGACCTTGCACATAGCAGGGGGTTGGAACTGGATGATCATTGTGGTCCTTTTCAACCCAGGCCATTCTATGATTCTATGAAATGACCAGAACAGCCCTACCATCACACAGATGAGGAGCACAGTTAGCAGGGGTTAAGTACATTATCTAATCTTGGAGCCAATCATCATGAGCAACAGTATATGTAGAACACACACGTTGTAGAAAGAATCCAAAGGAAAAAAAATCCTGTGTTTGCATGTTGCATCTCCTGTGGATGTGGTATTGCTCAGTTTTCACTTGCCACCAATGCGATACACGCAGTTCAGACACGCAAGCAGCTTTCTGAAGAAAACAAACTGCTCGCATCCTCTCACTCAATCATTCAGGCAACAGAAAGAGTTCATCTACAATTAATCAACATTTCTATCTGCAAGTTACCATAAAGCATAAACTGCACTGCTACAATTTCAGGCATCAACGGAATGTTTTCTTGTGTCTGAGAAAGTTTTAACAATATTTACATAAGGAAAACTCATCTGAAGCTTTTTCTACCATCCAGCTTAGGCAAAACATACTAAGCCACAGAACAGATAGCATCAGCTAACGTTCTGCCCCTTAAAAATACAGATTTCCGCACAGCACCCAGTAAGCAGGGGAAAAAACCTCACAAACTAGAAACCTGCCTACAATACAGGAAAATAAAAGATTTAAAATATTTACTCGGAAAAACAACCACCATCAACTTGCAACAAAAGAGAAAACAGTTATGATTGATAGTTTAAAAGCAATAGTAATGTGCCTGGTTAAAATGCCCCAACAATTCCAAGAAACAAACCAGCTACCCCCCCTGCAAAGCAAAACCCAGAACTAGTCAGCTATCCTTATCAACATGACATAAAAATCTTTTCCCAGTCTCAAACACATCAAAGATTTGTCCTCAAATGCACGAGCAGCTCTTATTAATTAGGCACTCGTGAGTCTTTTTCCTTCCACGAGGATTCCAGACCACATTAATTAACTGCCACTTCCAACCACAGCAAACCTTCAAAGCCTCAAAAGAAAAATCAAGCAAAAATATTCCAAATAGAAACTTCTCATAACCTTTGTTTTTTACTTGCATAAATCTACAGCTGCTCGTATGCGTCACTGCACTGTGTTTACAGGATTCTATCAGCTATTCCAACTCCTCATGAGCATGAACAAACCCAACTGCCGAACATTCCTGTGAAATAAAAGTTTTCATAGATTTCTCAGATCTCACAGAAGTTCTGGCTTACCAAGAAGCACAGCACTCAACACTGATACAAAGCAACCAACATGCTGAGGCTTGAGACCTTCCTCTCACAGTAAAGCCCGAAGCTGTATCAGTTCAGAATGATCTTGAAATGCGTCTTGTAGTCTCTCTATGCAGTGAAGTCCTCAGCTACAGAGAAGGCATGAGTATATTTACAAAAGATACATAGAGATCTAGAGATCTTCTGTAAGATCAGATGACAAGGAAGAGGTAATTTATCAGACACACAGCCTTCCACAATGACAAAGCAGCAGCCCAAACTAAACACAGAGTAGAGGAAGGCACCTAAATGAGAAGTTATTAAATCGTCCAGGAGTGAATTTAGACAACAAGGGCCATGTGACCTTTGCAGTCAGAAAGTTATCTATTTCTGGCCATGAAGCAATGGTACAGCAAGAACAGTCCTCAAAGATTCCAGAACAGCTCGAGCTTAGTGACTTGTTCAGTCACCTGGGTAGAGGGACATCAGGTTCCAAATTCCCTGATTCACACAATTTACCCAAGAAGCTGGTATCGACACCCTATGAGATGCCCAGCCAACCAACCCCTCCTACCTGTCTGCTTTCCACATGTGAATCATTACATCCAGAAAGTAACACAGGAGAACACCCTCTTTCAAACCCCAGCTCAGCTCCAGCTTGGGTCTGACCTACCAGCAGCAACTGAGCAATTCACAGATGTCTCCGGTATGTCAGCAGATGATGCACACGCAGTAGGTGACACACATGCTCTAGGATCTTTGAGAATTACAACCTGTGATTATGAAAATAAGATTTCTCACATTCCAAGAGTTCTTATTAGAAAGCAGTGTGTCAGACCTGATGAGTTTTTATACTCCTTCAAAGAACGACAAACACTCCAAGCAGCATTAGCACTGCTGGATCCAGGGCCATGGATAAGATGGCATGCAACAAACACTCAAGTCTTCTAGTATCTTTTAAACTGATTTTTATATAGCTAGAATACCTTAATTAGCTCTTATTATTTACAGTCCAGTAAACATAGAGGCATACCCTAATATTTCCAGGCTGAACACAACAACCTCAGGATGAAATTCAGTCACGTCAATTGCTCATCGCCTACAGATTTCAAATATAATCCCTGGATTGTAATGACTTGCCTACTCTATCTTTCCAAGCAAATCTTCTAGAAGAAAGGTTAAAAAAAAAGTCATCATAAAGCACTAGCTGCCATAAAAAACAGCACAGAAACCCCACTCATACAACAATCAAGGAGATTTCACCCAGCACAACACACTAAGCTATAAGCAAAACCTCTGCACTTTTAACTTCCACTGACCCCAGCTCAGAAAAGCTACCTTAGAGTTTCATCTCGCAGGCTCCACAAACTGGTTTCTTTCATGAAAAATGTAAATACACAGCATAATTGAAGTAAGCAAAATGTACTTAAATAACAACGTTTATCCTCATCACGTTACACTGCCAAGCATCCCCGAGAGATGAATCTAACCAAATCAACATTCCAAAATGCTTACTTTAATCCTATGCTTACAACAAACATCCTGTCTCCATGTTAGAAAACAGTTGTCCTGAAGTCGTTTTCTGAGTCCAGTTTTACTTAAGACAGACTTCCACAGATTCACACTACATTTTAAGACAAAACAAGTTCTCCTAATCAAACAAAATTTTTGGCATGCAGGTTTTAATGGAAGCTCTTCTATAAAGTAGCTACGAATGGCCTCAGCCTTATTATTTGAGCCACAAACTCCTTCAGTATAGGATTACCCACAACAGAACTGAGAAGGGCAGGCAGGGCATACAGGTCAGTACAAAACAAACTGGATATCCAGAAAAAAGACATTCATATGCATGAACGTAGTTAAATAAACAAACAGTCCAAACTTAAGAGAAATCCAACATCCATTGAAATATACCATTTCATTCAAAGGCACATAAGTTCAACCTACTAACATCATCAACTAGAATCACAGAATTGTTTGAGTTGGAAGGGACCCTTAAAAGCCATTTGGTCCAACTCCCCCGCAGTGAACAGGGAAACCCACAGCTCCATCAGGTGCTCAGAGCCCCGTCCAACCTGACCTTGGGTGTCTCCAGGGATGGGGCATCCACCACATCTCTGGGCAACATGTCCCAAGACCTTTCCCTTCTCACTGTAGAAGAGTTTTTCTTTATATTCAACCTAAACCTACCATCTTTTAATTTGTAACCATTTTCCCTTATCCTGTCACCACAGACCCTGCCGAAGAGTCTACCTTCTCTCTTACAGCCCCTTTAGATACCAACAGGCTGCTCTCAGGTCTCCCCACAGCTCTCTCTCCTCCAAGCTGCACAGCCCCAGCTCTCTCAGCCTGTCCATGCAGGAGAGGTGTTCCATCCGTTGGGTCTTCCTCTGGATATGCTCCAAAAGGTCCATGTCTCTCCCGTACTGAGGACTTCACAGTACTTTCAATTTAAATCTATGCTGAAATAAATGATCATCCTAAGAACCAACAAGTTCTGACAAACTTAAGTAGCTTCTCATTGATCTTTCCTTTCTGTTAATAAATTGATTAACATTATGGCCAAAGGAAAAGCTGCTGATAGAAAATGTTCTGTTCAAAGCACCACAATTTCTAAGGCATAGAAAGTCTACTCCACACTGACAGCCCTGTGTATTGACATGGGTGAGATGTGCCAGCAGCACAAGAGCAGAATGCCAACACGCATGGCTGCATCACTGCCCAACCTCATGGGACATTTCAGTCAATGTCACATGGACACACAAACATCACTCTGATCTGGCACAACCTCACCTCAAATGTGTCAAACAGACGTCAGAGTTCTGAAAAATTTTACAGTTAAAAATATATATCTCCACAGCTAAGTAGAAACACTACTAGGAACTGATAGGCCCTTCATACTGAAATGAGCGTTTAACATTAAGTTTCTCCCCAATATCCCATCAAAAAGAAAACTTGTTTATTTTCCAGAAGATAAGCCTCACATGGTTTCTCCTAAAATCCAGCCAAATTGTGTTAGCAAAACACCTCAATCCAGGAGAGTAAGAAGAAAATAGCAGAGAAAAGCCTTTCAGGTAAGAATGCAGTACAGACAGAAAGCACAAGTACTGAAAGAGACAAATCTCACAGAGCAGCTTCTAGGTAGAAAAATTATTACTAAAAGCACAATTTAAATACCATTACTAGTCAAAGCAGCAATACATATTTCTCCTCCAGTGTTTGGGTTATTAAAGAAAATTTAATCTGAATTTGACTTGCATCTCCAAGAGACTCCTGCTCTCCACTGAACAGCAGCACTAGAGACAAGAGTAGAAAGGACAGTTACACAAGCACTGTGCACTATTTCAGCATTTACTTCTAGTTTTAAACAACTGAAAAGAAACACGTAAGAAAGGCAGAGACAAGACTGGTAAATACATTTACTCGTTCAACCAAACAAATCTTCTCTGACAATATAATCCAGCAAACTAAGCGGTATTTTAACAACCAAGCTCTCGATCATCAGCCGAGCATAATTCCTAACAGAAGTACAACCATCTCCAAAGGGTAAACAAAAATCAAGGTCAGCACGCAGTGGGAAGAACAGCCTTGGAGGACCAAGGGACAGGGCCTGCTGTGAGCAGCTGGGCTGACACCACGCCAACACCTTGTTCTTCACATGCTGACACTTCACCTCATAAAAACATTGAGACCCGACCACTGGCTACGCCACATCAAAAGCGTTCCTGTCATTTTAAATTTAACTTCAGTGATATTACCTTGTTCGGATTGGAACCAGCCAATCAATTTACTGTTATCAAAACTTTAAAAGGAATCTCCCCCAACGTTTTGATGAAGCTTTTCTACTATCTTCTGTGGGCTGAAGTACGTTGCACTGGTTTTCAGTAGCCACCCAGAGTGCTGACAAGCTGCAACACAGCATAAACTCTTGCAATAAACAGAAATACTGACCATAAATAACTTCACTTCCCAACCCAGCAGTCATACAGAAAGGTAGCAGACACTGACCATGACAACAACAACCAGCCTTACACTGGGCTTTCAGCTTAGCTTGGAACCTGGCAACACCTGGCCTCAAAACGCTGCTGCCTTCACCCACAACACCAAGTTCTGACCCTGCTCTCAGTTACTAAATGGAAAATGGAACTCAATTCCCATCAGAAAAAATAAAAGATAAAAAAAAAAAAGATAGAAAATGGCACGTTTAGTTTACAAGTATACCAAAATAACTCGGTGAACAAAGGAAGCCGAAGCAAAGGGCCTGTTCAATAAGCTGCAGAGCCCTATCCGAGCACACACTCCTCGCTTTCTGCAGCCGAAACCAGCCCAGCAGAAACGGAAGCGCGGATTTTCCCCGCCTAAGCCTCCTCCGCTCTCGGTACGCACGAGACACGGCCGATGTGGGACAGCCCGGCCCGGCGATCCCACAGCTCCCCGCCTCCCTGCGCGCTGCGGGCTGAGCCCAGAGCAGCCCCTACGCACACTCCCTCTCTCCTTCCTGCCCGCCCGCCCGCAACTCCCCGCCGCCTGCTTCGGGCCAGCGGAGCCGCCGACAGAACGCAGAGCCCTCAGCGCAGCGCCCAGCATGGCGGCACGGCGCCTCCGACAGCAGCGCTCGGGGCCCGGGCCCACAGCGCTGCCGCTAAGAGCCGCGGCCCGGCCCAGACATCGGCTCCCCCTACCGCTCGCTCGCTCTCCCCTTCCCCCGCTGGGACCAAGCGACGCCCGCCAGAGGCCCGACCCCACGCTCACCCGCTGCGGTGCCTGCGCAGCGCGGCCGCGACCTCCCCGCCAGCAGCCCAGGACAACGGCAACAGCGGCGGCTTCCTCAGCCGCAAACAGGAAATGGCGTCACGAGCGTCGTCACTTCCGCCAGGCTGTTTCCGGAAGTTTCTCGAACGACGCACGGGCCGTTTGCTCCCGCACGGCCGCGCGCACGCGAGGGTCGGGCGCCCCCTGCTGGCCGTGGGCGGCACTGCGGCGCGGGGCGCTCCATGGAGAGGGGTGGCCGCTTGCATTCGCCGCAACCGTGCGAGGGAGAGCGCCTTGCTCACGGCTAAGGGCTGCCTGCGTGTGAGTCAGTTTGACATTTTTCTGCAAAACACAGAAAACACAAAGATATTTCCTAATGAAGAGGAAGAAACAAGAGGTTTAATCATTAGAAAAATCACATAATTGTGTCTTAATTGGCTAACGCTTATCGTTGACTTAGAAGTGAGACATGAATACATTTCCCAAGGCACTGCGGAAAGAATGGTTGGTACAGCCACCAATTACAAACATCATTCACTGGGGTACCTTTTTTAACTTAATATCATTATCTGTGGTAGTTCAAAGGAAAGATGACAGGAACTCATTATATATGTATTTGTTTTCTTGATATAATGTTTTTTGCTGTCTAATTTCCATTCTCTGGGTTACAGGGAAAGGCAGAGGATTGCCATCAACACAGCAGATGACAAACCCAGCTGGGAGCACACTGTAGGGATCTGAGAGAGAGCAATGTCAGTATCCCCAAAACACAGCACTGCACGGGTTGTTATGGCCCAGGTACAGCTTCCAGCATTTACAATCACAGGTCCTGTGAGCAGGGAGAAATAAGTGCACAGGCTTCGTGCTGATGTCACCCCTAACACAGCAGCCAGGGCACCGCTCAGCTTCAACTCACCTGTGGTGTCCAGCTCCCCCTGTTGGTTCCTGCTGGAGTCACCTTTCCAAGATGTCAGCTCAGCCTTCAGCATTTTCCAGGTCAATGCGATCTGTTACGCATCCACCCACAGCTCAAAAGAAATATTGTGGCAATGGTTGCTTTACTTTTAAGAGGAGCACTCGGATAAAATATTCAGTTAACTACTGCTGAGCCACTTTCTCACCCAAACTTTCTCTCGTTCAAGCTGCGGAGTTCAGGTACCACAGAGAAGGGCTAAAAAACCCATGGTTTGATTTGCTCTCTATACTCAGTCCCACTCAATTCAGTTAAGATTTCTCGGGAGTATTACTTAAGTTTTAGCATTAGTCTTACAGTAGGACAAAAGTCCTCAAAAAAGAACTTGGCTACCCAAGAGTTTTAACACAGAGACTGCAAGATCCTACTGTATGGAAATAGTTAACACAGATAAAAGGAGGAGGAGCAACTTTAGGTAAAGAGCCCAAACCACTTGCTTACCTGAAGTAATATCCTGAGAAGGACTTTAGTTGTAGGAAATGTTTAATTAGATCTGCTGATAAGACTAATAAAACAGAAAAACCAATAGCAGCAGCTGATAAGGTATGGTGGTTCTATGGGCAGTGGTGTGGAAGATTTGGGCAGACACGGGCTGGCATCTAAGTGTTGAGTCATAAGAATAAATCGTGCTCTTAGGGGATCTCCATTGCTCAGGAATTTTCAGCTCTCACCTTGGAACACGAGGCAAAGATCATTCTTCACTTTCACAGAACTTCAGCTGCCCAGAAGTTGAGTATTGTAGTTCAAACCCTCTGACTGTGAAGAACGAGAGATGGAGGGGCGTCTCCAGGGCACGATTTGTTCTACCCACCTTGGCAATGCATATCAGTAAAGGAAGAACCGACCTATGGATCTCCGAGTTGCCTCTGCCATAGGTAGTGCCCTGCCAGCCACCTCCCAGATGGCAGAAGTTAAGCGAGGGCCCAACTGATAACTATAAGCTAACGATAGGATCGCGTGGCGATAGAATCACGTGGCATGAGTCCAGGAGATATCAGCATTTCACATTGTTCCCAGATTCGTTTGCTGGGATTTTTTTAAAATCATTTTTTATTACTTACGGAGGTCAATTATGAAAAGCCCATCAGAACATAAGAAAATGCTGCATTAGAGAGAGATTAATATTAGTTTCTTTGATGTGGTAATGGCTGTAGCCTTTTTGGCCTTAATGCTGCTTAATGAATCTAGTTTTTCTATTTACAGATTCTATTTTTGGTGTTAGCAAAGAACTTATGTATCAAAGACTGTTCTCACATCATTTGATTATAGTAATACTGGCAAAGCAATTCTGGAAAGTGCCACTTAATTAAATATAAGCACTAACTTTTTTGCTGATAGCTTATCAGAAACAATTAGACTTGAAATACGGGCAATACACCTAACGTTTAAAACTTTAAGTAGAAGCTTTAAAAGCACAAAATAATCAATTATCATTAGAATTCTCCTGAGTTTTTCTGCTGAGCACAACCTGAGTTTTCAATTGTATGGAGCTTCTTAGGTAACCAATAGGATTCAAGTTTATCTGGATGCCTCTTTGTAACCAAAAGCTTGAGCAGAAAGGATGTTTTTGAGGAGTGGCTGAAACACTTCAGGATAGCTGGTGCTTTCCCCAGCTCCTCATAAAGCACCAGATATATTCTACTGATTACTTGGGGTGTACAGACAACATTCTAAGAACAGCTGCTGGCAGCCACAAGATCTCACAGTCTGTGACAAGTGCTTATTTCTTGCAAGGACAGCCTGATCAGCATTTCTATTAATTAATTTGATCTGAGATAGGCTTCCTTATCTGTACGCTAATGACAAATACATGTTAATTCTATGTCATTTTTCATCCATAACCAGATAGGTCTAACAGGTAAGTACATCTCAAGAGATGCACAGAACTCAGAGCTGTGCTACTGTCTGAAAGACAAGAGGTGAAAAATACTATGCAGAGCAGTAATAGAAATCAATGAATTACAGATACGAAGATAGAAGGTAGTAATTTCTTCAGAAGGTGCGTTTGACAGCATACAGCAAAACTGCACAGCAGCTGATGAGAAATGCTTTTCCTGGATCTAACATTTGGATAAGCAGAATTAGCAAGATGATTTGCAATAACACCATCTGGCAAATGAACGTTTCCTTCTTCCGCAACCAAGAACTACGTGCAACTACAAACACAGAACAAAAGAGAAATAAAGCAAAACTATCTTTTGTAATGTCCAAATGTTACACAGAGTGAACTAATGGCAGCTCTGGGGAGGCAGAAAAGAATAATCATGAATATATGTGACATTTGAGCAAAGCATTCCAATGAATTAAATGCTGCAAACAGAACACACGTTTGTACAGTGCAGCAGATAGTTTTTCAAAGAGTGTCAGTGCTCTCGAGTACAATGCTGAAAGGATGCACTGAGTCAAAGCTAAGCTTTATGGTCCAGGCTGGGCTCACAGTGGGAACTCCAGAGCCTGACAACTGAAGTTACACATCATGATGAGGATACAGACCAACTAAGAGTCTGTATCAGCACCCCTGTTGTAAGCTGTGGAATACTATCAAACTTTAGCCACAGAACTCCGCATGTATTGCAAAATGAAAGAAAAGAGTGTTTCTGCAAAGTTTCAAGAAAACTCAAATTATTTTATTCACAAAAGCAGAAGTCAATAAAAATATAGATATCCTGATCAGTTTTACAGACCATGTTTGTTTCTCCTTTACTGACAGGCAAAGCAACATGGGAAAAAAAAATAGTAACAAGCATTTACATCACAAACCATTATTAACACAGACTCATGTATATGAGCAAATAGATTTTAAAGTTTTTGCATATAAATACAAAAGAAATTACAATTCAAACAAAACACTCCAAGAAAAACAGCTCATTTTTTCTTGTTTTTTGTGCTGCATTCTTTTTTTTCAGTGATGGAAAGAGCATGTGCTGCATTATTGGCATTTAACAAATTGCTTCTGGCTTAAACTGCAATTTAGCATGATCTCACTGCATGGCTTGAAGTCCTTCTTTGATTTCCAAGCCCCTTTGTAGATGAAGTTAGGATGTTCCTACTAGACTCAAGTGATGCCCCTGTCCACACTGTTACTGACAGCATCAAGCAGCTCATTTTACTTCCAATTTGGAGCACCCCACAGAAAACTAACCAAAGATATCCTTGTTCAAACTTTTATCAGCTCAGTGTTCACTTGTGAAGCCGAAGACAAATCTCTCCTTGTAGATGGAAATTTTCCCCAGAAATAAAAAAGTGAGATCTGCAAAATGTACATAAGCATGGCTTCTTGGCATGATGGAAAATAGCAGTGATAACTAACAAGGCATGCCATTTCTGTGGGGCTTTAATATCCAGCAAGCAGAACTAAACTTACATCCAGAAGAATTCTCACCAAGAGACAAAGACCAACTGCTACATTTATTCTTTCATTTCTCTTTTATTCCTTTTAACTGTGGAGAGACAAAGAATTTGTACTCTTCCCATCATAAAGATGGATTTTTTTTTTAAGCTTGCTTTAAAGTTTATTTGAAAAAGGCAAAAAGAAAATGTTGCCATATTCCAAAAAGCAAGAACTGATCCAGGAAGAAAACACACAGAACTACTGAAACTGTATGGAAGGGCTGTCCTGCACAGACAGCAACTCCAAAACCGCAATTGGGACAGCCGAGCTGATGATCAAAAACTACAGTAATGTTTCAGGTTAGCTGCAGGCAAAGTGCTTTTTGCCTCTGCCTACCTAAACTCCGTGAGCATCACAACTGGGAAAGAACCCTGCACTTGTTTTAAAAAACAGAAAATCCATTTTCATATATAAACAATTCTTGCCATGTGAGAGCTACAAGAGATCATTTAAACCACTTAGCTCATCAGGACACGACTAACAACACTCACATTGTTTTTCATCCTTCCCTCTCTTATCCCTTAAAATATTCAGCAATAAAGCATGGATAAGCAGGATCTCACACTTCATCTTGTCTATATCATAAACAGTTGACAGTCAGAACTGAAAAACTTGTTGCCTACAGAAAACCCTACCCTCTTATTGCAGTCTGAGTACTTCTTCCTCCAGTCTACCCCACGTGTTGAACTCGCAGTAACAGAACACCACGCACTGCCTCCTCTTACAGAAGCTGGAAGCATACAATACCAGTCATGATTACACGGCGTGACTTCAACACAGTATTTGAATAGGGCTACTTTTTTATTACTGTTATTATTTTTTTTATTTTTTATTTTTACAAAATACAGATACAACACTACCAAAAGAATGAAATTGAAAAATAATTTCAAAATATTTAAAGCATTAGGTTATAAAATAAATAATGCTTTCAAGAAGCGTTCATGTTTTGCAGTTAAGAGGAGGCAGTTTCACTACTACCGATTTCTTTTTCAACTTCTTTACAAGTTTCATAATTTACGTAGAAAAAATATACATGAAAAGAATTCTGGGAAAACGTATAGGTTGGTTATGTATTATTTAATATAAATAAAAAGCCTAAAGCAAAACCAAAAAGAAAAACAATTACTTTATTTCTGTACATCAAGACTACAAACAGCATTTTAACACTCCATTTTTTACCCAACTTAAGAAATTATACATTTTTATATGGTTACCAGTAAACATCTTAAAACCACTCCATTTCCCCACATTTAAAAGGATATTGCTGGTTACTGCTTTTTAAATATGAAATCCAACAGTTTTCAGTAACAGCAATTTATTTCTTTTTTGCATAAGAGATGAATATAAAACTGATTGTAAATTTTGATGATTTAAAATATAAAACTAAAGTTCAGATGGATGCACTTATTAATCTTACAGTTTCAACTATAATTCCTTTTTCAAACTGACTGCAGTTCCCATACAAACACCCAGTGCCTACTACCAGAATCACAGAACCATAGGGATGGAAGGGACCTCTGGAGATCACCCAGTCCAACCCCACCACTAAAGCAGGTTCCCTACAGTAGGTTACAAGTAGGTCAGAGGATCAGTTCCTTCCACGTGAAACCAAGTTACTCCCAGAAATCAAGTTACACAAAGCAGCATATTCCCACCTACTTCTCTTAGCAAAAATACTGCAGGCAAATGGATGTGAAAGCTGTCTAATCACAAAAAATAATGAATTTGATTAGCAACTACAGCACAGATAAGGTATTTAGGATGGAAAAAAATGACAGGCGAAAGGAATGTGAACACCACAGGCTTCGAATATAAAAGAAAGCCTGATAACTTTGGTTTAAATAATTTTAATAGTTGTTACATGTGTATTTTTCTGAAGTGATGACTTTTGCATGTATGTGTGTATGCAACAGGGGGCTGATACATTAAATAAAATCTGTACAGGCACAAAAGACAGAAACAGAACAGAGAAAACGTGGATAGTCCTATCAGTTTATGACAGTGTTCAAGTGATAATGACACAGCCAAAGGTTGAACTCAAAATAAGCATGCGAATCTGTTTTCTTCAAGGTATTTCAGAAAGCACAAATAAAATATTATAAACATTTTATCTCAGTGCCTACCATCTTTAGGGAAGGTAGTATCAAACAAAATCAGTTATGTCTTAATTGTAACAACTATGGTTTGTAAACAATTCTACAGCATAAATGAAGATGTTAGGATATCAGTAATGAACATTTTCGTCCTCTCAGCTGTGGGATATCTGCAAACATCTGCTTCACTTTCATCTAAAAGACTACTCACAGGATGTTAGCCTCATCTCACCCCGATGTGCTGCACGGTACACAACTTTAATGCCAGTTTGTGACTTTTTTCTTATGTTTGAACAGCACAAAGCCAAAGCTTCATCTTTGGTTAATTTCACTGAGATGCCACTTTTTTTTTTTTTCTTACATGTGCTCTTTCTTCCCATGAACACAGAGAACAACCGCACTGCAAACAGCATTCAGTATTTTGAATCATCAAGCAGTGTCAATTTAATATTAATTAATGAAAGCTAACTAACAGATTGTGTTTAAAAATGAAACCTATTTGAGGGCATCTGATAAGACATAAGAGCTGCAGAAATTTACACTGAATTCCCTCAAAACTGTGTGGATACAGGTGCTGCTTATAGAATAGGCACTGGTTCATTCCTCTGCAGATCATCCAAACAAGCATCAGCTCAACTCAGCTTAGTTCAAATCCAGCAGCACATTCAATGGCATAGAGAAGCTTGCTCCGCATAAGATTTTCATCATAAAACTCAGGAAGCTTCAGCAAGTTCATGCAGGTACTGGCAGTAGGTAGCCTGTCTAAATCAGATCCTCCATTGTGAATGCAAAATGCAGGATATAACTCCTGGAAAATGCAAGAATAAAAAAAAAAAACATAACAAGAAATAAATACATGCCAAAAGCTAACCTGTAACAGCTGCCATAGTTTTCTAGGAAATAAATCATTAGATTAAAGACTGTCACAATGACATATTCAAATAGCATTTTCTTTCACTCCTGATGACCCCAAAAGCCCTCCTGAATAGGGTAGTGCCTCTCCCTAATGAATTTTGATGGGGATGAGATAACTAGCAGAACACAAAGCCATTTATCTAGTTCTAAGGAAAAACAGTAATTTGTTATTGTCCACACACTCTGTTCTGCAAATATGTGACACTACAAAACAGTGAAATATGAAGTGGAAATCATAAAGCAGCATGCAGAAAATCCTAGTTGTATTTGAGAGAAACAAAGGATCATGAACTTCAGACTCTTCTTGCAAAGCCTACCAAATGCATATGGATCCTATTTCTTCTGTAGAACAGGAAAACGATGCGTTCCCGTCACACTGAAGTTTTCTGAAATGCCTGCTGGCTGTAGGGAACTAGCGACCACTCGCAGGAATGGAGCTAAGTGGAAAAGGATGTTCTGTCGTGTTTGAACGATGTCATGTTTGTCATTGTACAATGACATCATATCATCTGTGAATTACACTTTTTTTCTTCCCAGTCAGGGAAGACATGTTCCAGGACACACACAAATTCCAACAAATGAAATTTTGCTCTAGCTAGTGAAGTGATGTGCTATGCCACTTACAACACTCTTGTGGTTGAGCTTAAAAGTATTCCAATTTTATCAATAAATATTACATGAGCATTTACTTATCATTTCAGAGCGATGCTCTGAGGAGAAAAAGGATGAATGAGTGACCAGACTACGTGGAAAGTATTACCACAGTTCCTTTCTCTGACATCCAAACAAACAAAACCCACCAAACTCCTAAACAAATAAACAACCCATGTTCAAACATACCCTTCTATGTTCCAAAACATTAGTCTGTCGGCATACTCCAGCTACATCAAATAAATTCTTCAAGCAGATGAGGCCTTCGTTTTACTTCTTCCCACCAAAATATGTGACCATTTTCTTTGTTAAATTCAATTGTCTGATAATTGTCTGATATATGACTCAGGCCTTTCTTGCTCTAAAGGGATTTCTGTCTGAACTAATCTCTCACTAAGCCTAAAATTTATTAATTTCAAGGCAAGCAGAACTAATGACTTGAGTAGACCCGTCCATGTGTAAGATTACACAAGTGTTTACACTAGTGTAGTCTGCAATTCTGGATCAAGCAGCAATATATATTCTTCAAATGAAGAACTAACTTTATTTACAGAAATTATACTGTTTATTCATAGAGTGATTACAAAATCATCCAGCTGTTAATGGGGTGAAACAGATGTGTACAATCACAGGACACTGTAATGATACAAATTTGTCAAATCCTAATTATTGCTATGATATGATTAACCATGGGTCTGAAGAACAGACTTCTGTCCCTTGGATATAATTCTGTATGTAACATTTTGTTTCAATAAATAGGATTCCCTTCTTCCGAGAAAGACCTTAGTGAGAAAGATATTTGTTACTCTAAAGCACTGCTTCTCCTGGCAATAAAGTATTCATTTGATCAAATGCTTGCCTAAGAAGTGTAGAACACTTCTGATTATTAGAAACTGAAAAAACCAGCCCAGCTCCAAAGGCAGAAGGTCAATGAGATTCTAAGCTAAATTATTGTTCAAATGGAGGCCTTAAAAAAAAGTATTTCATGGCTAAAATGCTGCATTTTTACTGTTCCTTTCAAAATGCTAATTGAATTCCTCTATTTTAGCTTTAAGAATGGAAAAATGGAGTTCTAAATTGGAATGTCATGCCAAGGGCACCAGTTTTTGCATAATTAAATACTGCACAGCAGGAAACTGCAATAGTTTGGAACTGAGAAGTGTCATCAATTTATTATGTGACCTGATTTGAACTTAGCAGTTTTCAACCACGCTTTATGAATTATTATTTTTTTTTTTGTCTGTAACAATCGCATTTATTAAACTTATTAAACTTTAATTAGCCTTAGCAAATGTTATTCTGAGTCTGGCAGTGAGAGTTCCAAATTTTTCAACGATGCAAAGCTAGGCTGTGCTGTGTGTAAGCTATGAATGTCAAGACATTCCCTAGCCTGCTTTGTCTAGTCTGCAGGGAAGAAAGCTGAAAGGTGACCTCACTGCTCCCTACAGCTTCTGAGGGAGGGGAAGCTGTTGGACTCGATCGTTCTTGAAGATCCCTTCAAACTGAACTGTTCTATCTTAAAGTACATTAACTTTAAGAAAAGTGGAAATTTATACACGTATGTGTATGTGTGTGTCTATACATGTTTGTTGGTAAAGCCACGTTAACAGAAGACTTAGATAACCCATGTGAACAAATCATTGGATAACTCAAATGGCAAGCACCACACGAGTAATTGGCTTAACTCCTGCCCAGTGCTGCCCAGCACATCTACAGAAAAGCCTGTATTGAAAGTTCTAATGCTCAGAAAAAATGACTAAAAAGTCAGGATGACATATACCTTAAACCCCAGAAGAGGTGGCCGAGAGCAGCTTGTTACAAACTTGAGTAGTTTGCGTTTCTCCTCATCAGTGAACCTTTCTACAACTCTCCAGAATGTTTTTATTACAGGATGGTCTGCTGCATAGCCACCTATAAAGAGATTTAAATAATTTACAGATAAAACAGTTTTATGCAAGAAATAAACTCTTCAGAAAACCTACCAACAATTTTGAATACTGCAGAAAATCTCAACACCACAAGGTTTAAAATGCTAACCCTGTCATTTAAAGATATCTTTGATCACTGCATTTCTAGTGTCTCATTCATTGCTTATCCATGGCTACTCTCTCTTTTAGCTTCTTAACTACTAAGAAAACTAACAGTTTCAGTTATATTTATGGTAAATTCAGAGAAGAATGAAGACACCTTACATTTTTTTCAGAAAGAAGAAGTATGAATTCTCTATTTGGGCTGAGAAATAAATGACCAAGTCATTTGCAGACTTATATTCTAGGCATCCAGACACAATCTCTGACTAACACTCTTTTAGAAAAGGAATTACATATCTTCTACTTATTTATAATTACTCAAATGTAAACATACAAAAAATAAACCAAACATCTGTCTCACAGCATTGATTAAATCAGACCCTACATTTAAAAAAAACCAGCATAAGAAGCAAATTGACTTATACCTTATCAGTCGTAACAGATTTTTTGTATTTTTTTATTATTTTTTTTAACCTCAAGTAAAGCATACACACCTGAATAATTTGTGAAAGATTTAAGGTCATCCAAACTAATAGGAACCTGGGCACCAGAGATCAAAACCTAACAGTGAAGGAAATCAGACAATTGTATTAGATGCAAAAGAAAATCAACATCTGCAGCTTAAAGCAAGTTTGCTACTATTTAAAGTAGGAATACCTGTATTTCCTGTTGATCAAACATTCGTAGCCATTCCAGATTCACAACGTTGGCCAATCCCTGACGGAAAGCCAGGCAGTGCTGTCGGATCTGTTTGTTCAGCCTGTAGTCTGCCACCAGGTGGATGTACGCGATGCGGTTAGCGCTGGTCACAGGAATGTCTTTTCCACCCGGCTTCAGCTCAACCACCTGTAAACACAGCTAGCCTTCATCATCTCGATAAACTTTAATTCCATGAAGCTGGAAAACTGAACAGCACGACATTCTGATATGTGATTTGTGTTTTTAAGATTTACTAGAATGTATTCCAGAATATTCACCTCAAAAATCCAAGTTATAAGGACAGTTAGTATCTGCTTACTCGTGAGAGCAAGTTGTGTGGCTTTGAGCCTTCAGACCTAGGAATTAAGAAGCAAATGCAGCTTCATGCAACTGCCAACTGTCAGCTTCACTGAAGGTAGGTGCCCCAAATAAGCACCATGCTCATACAAGGCACCTTCCTTCTGTCTGAATTAGGAAAGCACTGCTTGATGGGTTGTGCTTTTCTGGTTAACTGTTGGTGGTTGTGAGCGCTGCAGCATCACATTATGGCAAAAGCAGTGTCTGCTGAGCCAAAATTAGGACTCTAATTTACAGGATGGTAAGCATTTGCAAGTCCCATTGCTGAAAAGACAAGTTATATATGTTCAGCAATTTCCACAAAAACAAATCAACCCTAAAACTTCTGGTTCTGCTGAGAAACACAGCTCTCATCTTTCATGTACGCACAGATGCCTTAGCATGGAAAAAGTAATGGAGAAAAACAAAGCAAAACAAACATACTGTAATTGCATTTAGACATCAACAGTAATTGTTATTATCAAAATGACAACGATTTTTACATATTTTACTCCTTACTACAAAAGGATAATTTTGCTAAATAGCAGCCCAATCTAAACAGACTGTTAGAGTACTAAAAGAACTAAATAACTGAAAAGCTGCAATACATTCAGCTTTGAAACCCTTCACAAAAATGCTTGGTTTTCCATTCTTCAGAGACAGGAATTTATTTATTTTTATTTTTACGACAGTGCATTTCAGTCTGGGATGATAATCCTTTCTTTAAAGTATAGAGAGTTAAACACAGGAATAGTTTTTCTTTTGCAACACGCTACCCAATAACAGAGCTCTTTAGTACTAAGGAAAACACAGCTCCCCCAGGCATTCACACTTGTACCGATTTGTTTCTTTAAAGGCCAAAAGAGAACATTAAGATCTGTTAAGAATCTAAGAATATGACCTCCTAGATAACACAGGCCACAGAATTCTATTCAGAGATTCCCATCTTTTACTTGATAAATCCACTGGTGAGTTTAAGCACAGTTTTAAGAGAGAGGCAATCCTGGTGTAGAGATTTGACGTGATGGAGAATTTACCACTTTCCTTAATAAGCCACAACAACCTGAATTGCGACAGGTGCTAAAACTATCTTCCTTTCCACCTTAATCCTGCAACTGCCATTTTGTTAAGCCTACAGTAAAACACCTCACCAGTATCCCACATCACCTCTGCGTGTGGGTAGTGCCAACTGTGTTTAAGTGCTGCTCCCTACAGGATGAAGGAGTAATACAAAGGTGTGAGTTTCTCTCACAGTGTTATGTCCTGGCAACCAACACACGCATTGCTTTGCTCCCTTTTGAGTGAGCTTCCTTCCAGAAGACCCTTTTGTATTTCAGAACTACAGTGCCACCTGTTCTTTTATCATTATTTCACCAAGTACAATTCCTCTCTCTGAAGCACATATTGAATTTGGCCACATAAAGCATACTTACATCTCCTAACTCATCAAACTTAAGATTACATAAGCCAACAATAACAGTCATCATTTCATTTCCATACAATCATTTACGTAAAAAGATTCCTGAATTCACTTTCTCTCTAAAGTAACAAAAGGGAACTATTGGCAGTTGTTTTCGGATTCATCCCAACAGTTGGAGAACTAAAAGTTCCAGCTTTCCTTGCAGGTTAACAGATACAGGAGAATACAGACAAACCCAAGCATATGCTTATGTTGTAATAGTGCTATCTTGACAGTGGATTAAAGGAAAAATGCATTCAGTTTTTAATAAAAGCTATTTTCCTATTCAGTTTTAAAGTCAAGAACATCAGTTACAGATTTCCTATTCAGAAAGACCACAACACAAGCTAATGAGTCTTAAAGTTTTATCAGCTTGCATTTTATTTTTATCCATCCAATTTCTGCCACTAGATGGTGCAAAGCAGTAACACACAGGTACAGGATGGAAGAGAGGCTTCCCAAAATGCAAATCCTTCTGCCATCACCTTATTTTCTATTCCGTAGATCTAAGTTAAATATATATATATTCCACTTTAATTTTGTTCATTATCATTTTAAAAAGCAACTGAATTATACATATTATTTAGGTGAGTGTTTGGATAATTCGGACAATACCATACAACACTGAATTTTATTCCAAACTCACAGAATGTGTCTTCAAAATAAAGAAAATATTAACATGGGATAGAAAAGTATCATATTTTTAATAAGCTGCTAGATGATTTATTTTCTAATTTTACTTTATTTTTTTAGAAATGTGGATAGAAGTGCTGCATTTGGCCTGACTCAAGGTTACAGACACCTCCGGTTATTGTTGCGCACACTTCTAATTTGCACTTCAAACATTCAAGGCTATAAATTCAATTATATGTTACTGCAAATACATGCTACTAGAAACAGCACTCAGCTTACATTCATATTCCCATTTAGAGTATGACCATTACAGTTTGTAAAAACTACAAATACATACACACTTTCTATATGGTTGCATTTCAAATGAACAGTTCAGACAAGCGTTTGACTTATATCTACTAGTTTGAACATAGAATAAAACAGAAATACATACACACACAGAAGAGAAACAGTAGAAAACACCATTCAGGCAGAGTGAATTCAGGAGATTTATCTTCTGGCTCACTATCTACCACACAAAGCTGCTTTGCAATGCCTTTAGGGGCAATCAGTGGCAACTCTAATAGCAAACAAACGTAAGTCTTGCACAGATGTGATGACTGGCTTCCCAGGCTCATATTGAAAAAGGGAATATTTAGGGAGTGAAATACTTTATGAAAGAATAAGGGACATGTCACCTAGGCATTCTGAAGTATGAAGAACCTTTCTTTGTATTTGACTTAAGACAAGTAACCTATGTAACTTCAAAAAGCATTCATTGTTTTAAATAAAGTCAAGAACTCTTACAAGCCTGTTTTTAGTACAGGTGAAAATATTCTTATTTTCTCTTGGTCTCCAATCACTTTTTTTTTTTTTTTCTTTCACACCATCACTAAAGATTTCCTCCATTCTGGAAACATGCAGATAAAGATCTTCTTTCTTCCCCTATCATTTGCCTTCCACATGTTCAGGCAGGAGTCTCAGGTAGGAAACTGCATTTGAATGTCTAAGAATGCAATTGCTATAAGGATTATAAATCTGCCTGAGTAGGATCAACCGCAATCTAAACATTTTGCTTCTCAAAAGACTTCCAGTATCATCCATCCACCCACTGCATCCTCATAACAAGGCCACCACAGAAGAAACTTCCATGGTTATTTTTAAGACTTCAAAATCATCTCTCATGGAAATTTAAAGGCAAAAAGCTCTACTTTCACTTGTCAAAATATCTGCAGTAACAAAAACAGCATTCACATCTGCTTTAAAAAGCCGTGTCCTGACATCAATTTTTACACTCTGGACTTCACAGAAACTGCTGTCTTATAGTTCTTTTGAGACTTCTTACTTACTACTTACTTACTGCCATTTTATACAGCTGATCTAGCAGCTGAAAACTAGGCTGGTATCACTGCATTAGATGGTTCTTCATCAAAAATTAAAGCCATCTAGTGTTGGAAGGTAAGGTTGATGGCAGAGCTCCCCTAATTAACAGGTCTAATGTGCAAATTATTAAGTACCTTTTTCAACTTCTGGTGAATGCACTTTGACAATAGTTTAATGGGATCTAAAAGCACATTACAGGATTGGAATCAATACTCTGATAATAGAATTTCTATCTTCTACCACTGACAGGCAATAGAGCCCCTTCTGAATGTGTCTTTCATTGCAGATAATGTTTTTGTGCCACCATTGCTGGATGGACACTGTCACAAGGATAGCTATTTACAATGATAGATTTATGATGCATTTATTGAGCACTAATTCATTAGTCACTAAAGTGGTTGTTTAGATGAAAACAGGAGATAATGTACACTGAACATAAGGAGTGCAAATTAAGCTCTTTTCCCAAAGTGAATTAGCCTTACCTTGACACAATCAATTAGTATGCAATGGTTACAAGTCAAATACCAGACAGAGTATTTATCCACAAGGTTTATTAAGATAATGAAATGAAATAGAAGAAGCAACTTGCTGCATTAAAACAAAGAAGATACTGAAAAGAACCAATTAGTTGTATTGAACTACACTAAAATATAGTCTCGTTAAAAGACAGTTAATACTTCAAGAGTATAGTGTTCTCTCTCCAAGTATAAACAGGAACAAAACATCAGAGTATTTCATTTAGCCTATGTTTCATTTAGTTATTCAAAAGCTCACATTTAACCTTTCTTTTAAGGTTATGCCAAGTAAGTAAAGGCAAATACACACTTATTACAAGTTCTGTAGCAGTAGGTGCCACTGGCATCACGTCTGTCCTGTGTCTCAACGTGTTATTTCTGAGCTACTTCACTTTTCTGTGTCCTTCTACCCTACTTGTCGAGGTTGGTTCTAACTTGCTGGTATGGCTGAGTTTTTTCAGATGTATGCAGTGGACATACATAGTACGGAAATTACCACCTTTACAGAAGATATTAATGATTTTTAATTTATAATTAGAGGCAAAATTGGATTGCGTAAATGAAGCCACACAGAATACACACAGTTACAGACCAACAAGAAAGTCCAAGTTTACATTAGAAACTGTCATCTTGTATTCTTTGCAACCCAATAACCAGATGCACCTATAGCACAGAAATGAATTCAGTATAATCAGTCACTTACAGTCACTCTCCGACATGATCCAGGAACCCAAAATCGGAGGCTATTATTTTAAAACTGCAATACAATCCACATTTTAACAGCTTCCTAAACGACAGGAAATTGGTAACAGGATGGTAAAGACCAACTCTAAGCTTGATGCTGTTAAGACAAGTCCTGGACAGCAATCTGGCTATGATTTAAACAGCAATAAAAGAACTTGACATCACAATTGCAAAACTCTGCTACTGCATCTCAGTGGTACTACTGCTTCTGTGCAAGCATGCCCAAGCCAAGCCTTCCTCAGCCAGCAGGAACCCAAAGAGAACTGGATTCTCGCTTTGAGAGGTTTTTTTATTTCTTCTACAAGAAATAAGGCCTGAATCAGGATGCTGCTGCACATCATAATGATGTCAGGTCTACTATTTGACCCAAATATTAATTAAAGAGCATTAAAGGAAGGCCACAAGCACACCATTTTAGATTTTCAATAGTCAAAGAGGGAGCGTGACAAAGGAGATTAACTGTATTACCACACGTCTGCATTCTTTTCAAGCACTGCTGATGTTTGTTTTCTACTATGAGCACAAGTGATCATTAGCCTTCACAAGAGAGTAAATAAGCCATGGTCAAGTCGTACAGTGCAACTGCACTACAAATTCAAACTTACGGACCTGAATAATCACTTCCAGAAGCAATGAATTCCACTCTGACTCACTGGTGGCTCAGTCCCCCAGAAAAATGAAGATGTTTTTCTCTCAAAATTAAGGTTTCATCTCAGGCCCTCTCCTCTGAGCACTGGTCAGCTGAATTAACTCTTATCTCACAAGAGATCACTTATTTAAAAACATCAGTTTTTAACTCCAATTCCAAAATCAAACAGTTCTTCTATAGTCTACTTATCATCTAACTTCTGCAATTGTCTGAAGTGGAATCAAAGAAACACTATTTCATTCAAGAAGTTATGTCAGACAACAGAACTTTTCACATCCGTTAGAAAATCATCACTATCATTTATTATTTAAACTCCCAGATCCTTCCTATCATCGTCAAAAGCACAGTTCCAAAGTACAAAGTTAGTTATTTACTACTTCAAACACTGAGTCAGAATCCTACAGATGCCTCACAACAGACAGCATCTGTAGCAGTTCTTCCTTATCACTTTCAAAATAAAAATAAAATGAGTAGAGATATTCATATTCCACCAGGCATACATTAAAGAAAAAAAAAAACAAACAACCCAAAGCCACTCCTTACCTGTGCTTCCCCGAGGTCATTGTTTACTACAGTGAAGTTTAGTCCCAGTTCTTCTACATCTCCTTCATAGCTCTTGAGAAAAAGCAAGTTTTTGTACATTTCTGGATCCAATGAAGCTAAATGATGAATGTCAACGTCGGCACTTGTCCCCAGTAATTTGGAGAGGAAAAAACTAGCAAAGGGCAGCTCCACGAGCATATTTTCATAAAGAGCCTGAAAAGCAAAGCAATTAAAAGCACATTACGTTTCACTGTGATACATGCAAGAATTACAAATGCGGCTGTCTATTTCTCAGCTCAATAATCCGGTGCCTGAATAGGATCTTCTAGTATGGCAACAGCACAGATATGGCATTAATTTAAAAAGTTTCAACTTAGTTTTGAAATTTGAACGTCTTTGTGAAATAGAAAGCTCCAAAATTTTACAAATTAATGAAGTGATGACTTCAAATGCAAGGTCACCACTTATTTACCATTGATCTTTGTGTCCAAAGTATTATAGCAAACAGGAAGAGCATAAATTGTATAGATTTTTTTGCAAGAAAAACTATGCTTCTAAAAAAAAAAAAAAGAAGAAGCTTATACAGATTCATTGCTGCGTATCTGATGAATGATGGTACTCCTGTTTATGTTTAAGTGGAGAACTTGTCACACCTGTACTATACGTCCCGTTCTTCCTACACCTGGCACTGTTACACTGTCTAATGACCAATGAATCAGAAATGAGTCTGAGCTGAACTTGCAGTATTCGTCAAAGAGAAAATGTATATTTTTTAATGTAAAGTTAAAACTTCCTCAAAGATTACTGAAAATAGACAAGATCACAGAAACACCCAGTTGATTCGATGCACACAAATATATTACAGTTCAGTGCACAGCAAACAACTTTGCACATTTTTCACATAATCATAAACAACTTCTTGTTGACTGGAAAAAAAAAAAGACGTTTGGGGAAATCCTTCAAAAGAGAGAGATGGAAACTTTATAGCTAGGAAAAGCAAGCATGAAAACATTTAGAGAAAGCTTACACAAGTAAGACAAACATAAAAGACCTTCCCTTTCAAAAAAAACCCTGAAATACACTGCCTGCCTTTCCTATTGTCCAGCTATTTGCCACGCTACACCTCATATTTTTATACTATCATTACTATCACTGCCAGGCTGATCAGGAAAGGCATCATCAACACAGCACCACTGTTTGCTCTCTGCAAAAGCCATGTTTTGGCATTACTTAATTCTTCTGCAGCCTGCTGTAAGCTTAGTAAACACATAAATCAGAACAGCACAATGAACATAAAGGAAAAGAAAGAATAAATGTAGCTGTGATCACTAAATGATATTCCAAAGACTTCAAGAAAAATATTCACAATTCCTTAAACTTTTGAAAGAACAATTCTATGAGGTGAGTTAGACCTTGCAGAAAGAATTGATAATAACGAGTTCAAAGCCAAAGGGTGCATTATATTTAGAGCTATATGATTTATCCAAGGTGTAAAGTCGAAATCCTCATTTGTATAGTTGACTTTAAAAGCAAACTGGAGGGATAAATCATTAATTTGCAATGTATAAGGTCAGTGTTTGCTGTTCCTGCATTAGTAACAATAAAGCTATTGTAATTCTTTAAATATATCAAAGCTACCCAGATTTAAAATGGGATTCCATCTATGACTCATAAAATGTAAATGCAGAGGTGCAATTTTTTACACAAGGCAGGTTTAAGCCTTTAGAGCATTTAATATACAAGGACTAATAAATGATAGCACTAAAAACTATGATCACATCAGCTAAATGGATTATAAATTAAATTTCCATAATGTATGCAACTGAAATACAAATGTAGACATAAATCAAGGTATTTTCTAAACACAGGTTAATTACACAAATTCAAAACCTGTCTATTTTTTATGCAAAACAATCCACTTAGCATTTTTCAAACTGGTCTGAAGTCTCAGCACTCACAACACTTGATCCTAGAAGCCTATCAATAATTCCGTGTCGGGAAAAAAACAGCAATAGGTATATTGAAGAAACTTGTATGTTATTTTTCAAGTGTCTGTCTCTTATGAGTGTTTATTGCTAGAAATTGTGCCAAAATGATTTGAAATAAAAAGGATTAATTATACTAGAAGCTTTTTAATATAAGTGAGTGCAGCTGCAATGCAATTAATGCAAATCGTGACGCTATCAGGAAAATAAATGTGAACAACATCACTGGCTATTTCTGTTTGCTGCCAAATAACTTCAGTAATTTACTACATTAAGAATCAATAAAAAAATAATGCTTTTGAAATGCATCACTATTAATCTTCAGGTAATTCCAAAGTGAACATTTATAACTTCATCTAAAAACTATATAAAGCATTTTTAAATAAACTGAATTTTGCAACTTGAAAATAACTTTAATTACTACCACTCCTTTTAGCTAAGTAATTGCAAAGTTAGAAGCAAATTATTTTTGGAATCAAGACTAAGAGTAATGTTTTAATTAGTATAAAAGTCAAGCTGTCCTAATGAAGTTGAAGAAAAAAAGGTCAGTAAAAAACTGGTAAATAATATCATGAACTCAATCCTGTAAGGTGCAGCCAGCACATAGATGTAAGGGGAGAGATCCACTCCTTCCTTCATAATCCCTTAACAAATTGTCTTGGGAGCTACTGCTACCCAGTTTTGAGCTGTTTCCTGCCCATCCAGCTCTCTGAACTGGCTGTCTGCAACAGGAACATCTACAGGTGGGGAAGCACGACCACCTCTTACAGAGGTAACCAGCTGTGGGGATGGATGAGCTTCAACGTGAAGGTCCCAGCCAACCCAGACCATCCTCTATGTTTGCATCAGGAGAGCTGCACAAGCAATGCAACGCTCCTAGGTGACACAGTGAAGCTCAGGCTGGACAGGGCACCTGATGGAGCTGTAGGCATTTCTGCTCGCTGCAGGGAGTTGGACCAGATGGCCTTTTAAGGTCCCTTCCAGCTCAAACAGTTCTATGAGCCTCTTGGCTGAAAGGCTGTGTTTTGCTGAAAGGGCCAGGATTTGCTGAAAGGATCTGGATTTCCCAGCATTATTTCAAACTCACCCAGGTTACATTACAGAAAATAGCTTTCAGTTAAAGGAACTTCAGACATTTTCCTTCTCCTGCATGCACGAATGTTTGTAGAACACAGCAGGTGATTAAAAAAAAAAAAACCAACAACAAAATAAAAAAAACCTACTATGGTCACTAAGTTCTGACTTCACACACAAAGCATGAGGTCCAAAGTCTGAAGTTTCTCTTTTTAACAAGATTAGCTGGTTACAGCTACAGTAAAGCATTTGTACACAGTCTGGTTCACCTAAAATTGATTGCAGTATTGACTAGTTATGAAACCCTTTACTCGTTTCAGCAACAATCTGGTAGTCTAACCTGAAAAAATATGAGGGTATTACACTGAGATACTTAAAAATACACTGAATGCATTTGTTAATTATCTGTGATGTCAGGGGGAACAGCTCAGGCAAACAACTTTCAGAACACAGGCATGTCAGCAGCTCTAATGCATCTCAGCCACAGGCAGCATCTAGTAAGGCAGGTAGAAATATGCAGCATGCAGTTCTCAGGGCGAGGAGGGCTCTTCCTTGCTTTCAACATAACAAGAACTGTATCTGAGTGGGACTGTGGCATCTACCAGAACACTATCCAAGCACTACAGGTCCCACAAAGTACCTGTTCAGGTACACCTACCAGCTTGTTTTAAAACTGGACAAAGTTTGGAGCAGTCAAGTCACTTCCTACAAACATACAGACACATCAGCATCACACAGGAGAGGGCACAGGACAGCACAACACACTGAATGAAGCTCCAGTTGTGTCAACAACTTCACAGGTGAGCCAACTAAACCTTCCTGACTGTGAAGCAGCTTTACTGCTTTTACTTTCAGGTCTACAATTAATTTTCTCTTTTATTATTTCAACTAAACTCTTTCTTGGTAAAACTAATTATTCACTCTTCCATCCTAGAAAGATGCAGGGCTTATGGGCCGAAGCAGTAAATGATGGGGCTTCAATTCAGTTACTTCCCTAATCAGCCCTCGAGACCTCAACCTCTTGTATTTCAGTCATTTTAAACAGTTACTATCAAATAATACTTAGCACTTACAGAGTGCAATAGATCTTCAAAGCTGTACAGAACCATTAATTAAAATGGTAGAAGAATGGCAAAACCATTACAACTTCCTTCTACTGCATTATTTATATTCTATATATATTTCACCATAGTCAAAAATGCTTTGTGGCCAGCAAACGCTTTTCTACCCTAATGATAAAACTAAAAATATAAGATCCGTTAAAATTGACATATGCCCACATTTTTGAAGCACTTTTAAAATTACTGTTTAGCAATTTTAAGGTAAAATAATTTCTTCAAGATAGACTCAATAATATCCTTTAAAGTTGGCAAAATCAAACTGATATGGCAAAACAGGAAAATAAAATTACTTATATTAAATGCTACAATGCAGTATGTCTGCTGTTTGGTAGCTCTAAGTCACTTTCTCAGTCTCTGAGCTCTACAACAGTGATTTATATCACATAAGTAATGGATAATGCAGTACAGTAACTTCTCTACATGACTACAAAAATACACAGCACGCTTACTATTCAAATACCGTTTTTTAAAAAGGAGTTCACATTTCTACAGCAAGATGCCTATGAGAGAGCTTTGTTCACACCTCCTGCAGCAGTGTCAGTATTCCCAGCTTCTAAACTATTATTTTCAGAAACAACTCAAGCCATGTGCAACTCGTATTACATTTGATTTCCCACGCACTGGAATTTGAAAGTCAACAAGCACACGTCCACAGCAACTCCAAACATCTTGGGTAACAAGAGGGGCTTGCCTGCCAGCTTTGCTCTGCTCAGTGTACAGACCCAAAACTGATTACAGGAATTTGATGAGCATAAAGTGAACTCACCACTGACTCATGAACACATCACCATTTAAAAGCAAGGATACATTTCCAGGCACTGTTGGAGCGTAACAGTTTTAACAACCTTGAGTTCATTTTCAATTTAAAAGTGTCACGTCACTCAAGTAATTTTATTCTAAGAATTTAGAACGCAATTTTATTACATGAAATTTTATTACCAAAATGGAACGTTTCAGAAATTTTGGTAGTAGCAGAAAATCATCATTCAGCAACTAGGTACTTTCAGACTATTTTTATAGGAACAGTTACCTC